AATAAGACTGATGAAATAAATAAATGCTCTAAGTAGTCATTTAATATTTTACATCTACTGGAAATGGAAACAATGACAATTTGGATGTATTTCCTATAAATATACTATATTTTGTATCGTGAATGATGTACAATTGTATTTATAGTATCAAAATATATACTTTCATGAAGGCATAATATAAAATATAATAAAATCAAGTACATATTTACATGGAATGGAATAATGAAATATTGAAATAATACTAATTGCAATAATACTATTTTTTTGTTATGTGTTACCTATCCTTACAGTGCATTTTATTGAAAGTTCATTGCAACCAACATATTCTCTGAGCATACCCTTGGTTTCCTCATACTCTTTACTATCAAGATTAACACATGCACACCTAGATTGTTGTGAATTAGGAGATTCAAATAACATTCTTGGTACACCAACCCAATCTCTTGCTATTCCCCCACTAAAAGAAGCAGTTTAAAGAATCTTTATGAAATAAAATATTTTTACAAAAAATATTTACCTCTTCTTAGAACACCAAACTATAGTTCCAGAATTTGGATTCCATTCTATGTTACATGGAGGAAACATTCTTTTCCTATGCTCCTCTTGGAATTCGACTTCCTTAGCCTGTTTTAACATTCTTTTTATATTATATGATTCTTCGGTTGGGCTACCATCCTCATGGTAGTGTCTGCCACTTAGTTTGCCTATACCGAAGGAAACACATTTTTCAGAAATATTTCTATAAATCCTATTATATATTTATTTCAGGTATGTAAGCTGATGACAGCAAACCTTTGTAAATATAGTTGTTTTTATAAAAGTTTACCCAATCATTTAATGCTTTGATTTGTTGCAAAGATAATGAAGACACATCATCTGTTAAGCCTTTGTCATTAAATTCTCCTGTGATAAAAGCTAATGATGCATCTCGACCTACAAATGCATGTATTAAATATACATGACACAAAGTCTACAAAGTGTAATCTTATCACAATTTATACCAGTGAAGACGTGATAACTTGCTCCAGGTCCATAATGTTTTGCACCTTTAGTAACATCAAAAACTTGACCTAATATTGAAATATATAAACCATCTTCCAAGTTTATATATTTTTTTAGTTCATTTTGTGTAAATACTTTGTGGCCCACATTAGTTTCTGAAATTGTATTCGGGTTTCTATCCAAACTGGAATAAATATTACCAATAATATTTATTCCTTTCTGCATAAAATCATCAAATTTGATTTTGTTCAGGTAATCATGCGAGTATAGAAAATATGTAGATACGAATAATGGAAATAACCAAAGATACTTGGAGAACATAATTTTGTTAATAAAATTTCTACATTCACAACACAAACACTTCTATATTTTTTAAATATAGAAATCAATAATTGTGAAAAGCAGGAATACAATTAATGCAATTGTTTAAATGTTTTGAACAAAAAATTATCGAAACATACATAATTCCTCTGAGAATGCTCTGTGTACGTCTGCGTACGTTAGTACGTCACAGCACGCCACATTACATACATCGGTATGTAATACATATTATAGATACACCGTGTATATAATGAATCCTGCCCCAAAACGGAACGCAAAAGGCGGGTTATATAAATTCTTGTTAAGGAATAGATCATTTTTCACTCTATAATATAATATTACCTAAAACTCTAGTGACTAAAAATCAGTACATATATGCATATAAAAATGCACACACATGTATGTATATGTTTATTTAATCACTTAATTATTTAAATACACAGTCAATGAAAGATTTATATTTACGAAGAACAATTGTAATACAACTATCGTTTCCAACAATTCTTGAATAACATGTGAAGAAGGTTCAAAATATACTATTCAGAATTTGAATGTTAGGTATTTAATTTCAAAATTGCAACTTATATTGTAGATGACGAACAAATATTTAAGACGTGTTGAATTTAATAATCGTGTAATTTAAAAAATGTTAATAATAAATTACAAACAGTGATGTTTAAAAAATAATTTTAAAGGGAAAATAATTACGAATAACAATTACTTCAAGCAAAAGATTTGAATGTATGAATTTGACCGCCTACCGAACCTATTACGCTACCTCCTTTGCCAAGTTGGCATATGTATTTTATCTTCTCTTTTGCTTCGAGTAGTCGATGCGTGCCTTCATTGAATCCTTAACAATAAATATCATTCTAATATAAATGCGCATTGACATGCGCTAAGGCACGCATCTCCTTATTTTCGTTCTATGTTTACTAAAAAAAATTGGTCAAATTCTGCGGTTCTACTACTATAACTTTTCGTTAGCGAGTGACTCAAACTTCGTCTAACGAAATAATACATTTAATCGAAATATCGTCTTTATCACGTATAAAACTATTTTTTATCAGATACGATAGGCAAGTAGTTCTATGGGACTTTGCACCAAAAGCGGCTGTAAAGAAAAGAGATTAGGAACAGGTATGTATGTATGTACAGTGCAATTAGAATAAGGATAGCGCTAGGAGAGGGAAGCGGGACAATGCACGCAGGGCGGAAGTGAGAAACCACTCGTTGCAAATGGCAGACGTATGATACCGTCTAACTTATTTTTCTGGTGCATCCGTGGCAGTGGATTACGATTTTAGATGTTTGTACATTGTGTCGTTTGGCAAGATTGAACACTATTGCGCGTAGAAACATTGGTAATCAAGAAATTCAACAGCGATGGCGAAGCTGGTGAACGTTTGGCGGGACGATGACCCGGTCGATTTGACGCGAAGACAAATGCCGTTGATTGTTGATGAGAATCTCACGGTGAGCATAATTTTCATTCGTCAACATTCTTAAATTCATTGATTAGTCTATTCAAAATTAACGGCTTAATAGGACTTACGTAATAGCATTCTATGATATTTCTGACTTAACCTAAACGTGACTACGATTGCATGCCTATGGCATAACTAATTAGGAGTACATACTGTGTTTAATATCAGTACATATTCCGCTTAACAATCGTTGATTGTTGGCAGTCGAACGTGATTCATGTTTCTACGAATCGATAGTAACTTTTCAAGTTCCGTTCATTCTATTATTATGATTTTAAACTTGCTTGTTTTCTTGTAAAAATAAAAAATGTCAAACGGATTTGTTATTTTAATGGATTGATTAGATATGTACTATGCAACAGATGAAATGAAAACTTGAGTTATAAAATTATCAACATCTGTGATGTAGAAATTTTTTGTATCGGTATAAAATGTGATACGCACGATAAATAAAATTGTATAATTTTCATAAAAATCAGTTCAATATTTTTTATATTTGATATCTAATTATTTTTCGTTTTCTTTGAAATAAGATTCAGCTTCTGAAAAAACTATCTATTTTAATTTTATTTAAATAAAAAACGAAAAGTGAATTTATAATTTGATAGAATATAGATATATAGAAATAATTTTGATTTGTTCTATAGATGATTATGGATATAAATGGTTTGGGAGCAATCTGTGATAATCCATTAGTCCGTGGTAAACAGCTTGATGAATTTACTAAAAAATTGGACATGCTTACAAAAGAAGAAATCAAAGCATCATTTAAAGTAACATGCAAAGATATGCTCGCAATTTTGGGTCAAGCTGTGCCATGTATCGGTTGTAGGAGAAGGTATATAAAAGAAAATATGTGATATGATATATGCATATAACAATGTTGCTCGTACCATGCATTCAACATTTTATATTTTATGTATTTAGTGTTGAAAGATTGTTCTACGACCTTATGAAATCGGGGCATCCAGCGTTAGATCCTTTGGTAATTACACCTGAAGGTCTATTATCAATAAAAGATGATGTTTTGGGATCACCACAATTATTATGTACAATGTTGCAAGGACATAGGTAATATAATTAATGTTGTAATATATTTATCATAATTATATAAAATGTATAAAAATTTGGTTATTGTACAGCACAAGATTAAATAGTTTAGTTGAAAGACAACCTAGAAGTAAAAAATCACGAAGATGTGTACTTCATTCATTGGAAATTCAACGTATGAGACCTCTCCCAAGTGCGTGGAGAGAAGTGTGGGATTGTATGGAACTTCCATGTCGACAAGAACTTGCTCTGATAGAAACTGATACTCTTGATGCCACGTTAGATACATATTTACGTAAACATCGGTAGGATCATAAATATTATATTTTAAATATTCGTAATTCAAATTTTTTATCATTATGTTTTTATAGATTTTGTGGAGAATGTCGAACAAAGGTGTTACTAGCATCTTCTTTGTTGACAACAGAACCTGAACCAACAAAAGAAACAGGTTATGTTGCTGCCCTATACTCTGGAATTAAACGTTGCATACGAGATAGACATGTACATTTACCTACTAGTACAGATTATATTAATACTTTAATTGGGCGGGCTCAACCAGAACTTATGGGAAGGTACATAATTAAGAAAGTTTTTTATTAAGAAGTTTGGTTTAGTATTTAGTCACTTTAGAACTTTTATAATTATAGGGAACGACATGCTAAAACATTAGAAATTGCTCAGGAAGAAGTACTTACATGTTTAGGGATATGTATTGCTGAACGGTTGCATAGAGTTCATCGACGTTTACGGGAAGAAGAAACTGTGTGCAAAGTGTTAGCTGCTGTTGCAGTGGATGCATTATCCAGAAACTTTCAAGTACAAAATTGTGATGCTAATACTTGGTGTGCGTTAACAAATGCATTCGTATAAGGTTAAATGATTCTTTATAGATGGCTGTAGAAGTTAAACAAGGTGTTTCTCAATTAGAACTTCTTTATGAGGAACTAACGAGAGAAGAAATAGCAAAAAAGCAACGTCGAGAAAAGTTGCGTTTAAAACGCAAAAAGAAGAAAGAACGTCGTTACGAAACAGAAGAAAAGGAAAATACATGCGAGGTAAATCATAACTTAGCATTTCAAGTAGCACCTAAGCTATAAAATGTGTTTAGTCATTCATTTAATTTTATATGTACAGTGTTTAAGTAAAAGGCAAAGTGGTAACAGTGAAGTACAGTGTGTTTGTGCAGATTCAAAACTTACAACACAGAATATAGATCGACATAAGGTAGAATATTAATATTGCTCAATTGTGTACACGTTTACAAACATATATTATGAATATGTATCTATTTTTAGTTACAAATATTAGATCCTAAAAATGAGGGACCACCTACGTGTAAATGTCCAGACTGCATAAAAAAGTCAAAATCTAGTATATCACAATCACAAAGTCAGACTCAGTTAGCATTCCCCAAAAGATCGTCAAATTTAGAAAAAAATAGTGTTAAGAAAGATTCTTCTGAATTAAAATCGAAATTTACCACAAATCAAATAAAAAAGCATAACACTCCCATTAAAAATCTTTCTGAAGAAGAATTATTTGAAGCTTGCGAGTCATGTAAGGTAATGATATAATATATCAATACATATTACGTGCATATTTTAACGTGATTTGTAAGATTTATATGTCGTTCAATGTGTAGGATTGTGCGGAGAAAATTGAAGATGATGACTGGCACAGCCTGGAGGATTGTAAAAATCCAATGACTAAAGACATAGTACACGCGTGGATAGGAAAACCAAGCAAAAGATATATGTGGATAGAAATGAAGAAACGTTTCGAATTATCGATGTCAGAAAGAAAAAGTCGTTCTTCAAGTGAACAATCATCACAGGATTGTGGCTATTCCTCAGAACACAATATTAGTAGTTCTTCTCTTCCTAGTACACCCGAAGGATCTGAAGTAGCTTGCAGTGATGGATGCTGTAACCATGAAAGAGATTGTCACGACATACGAACATCTGATAAACTTGTTCATTCCAATTCTAGCATCTCGTTATTAAAGGAAAAAGGAGGTGGTTTAACACTTACACAAATGTTAGAAGTAAGTATTTCATGTTCTGCGATTAGATTTTTATGCATAAATTTTGTAATTTCGATAGTAACAAATTTTTATTTTATTCTCAGGAATCCCATTTATCAGATGATGAAGAAAAAGAAAGTTATATTCCAGCAGAGGAAGTATTGGAGTTTAAATCGCGAATGTGCCAAGTTCTTGAAAAACGACAAGAACTTCGTCAAACGCTTAGAAAACGTTTCGCTATCTTATGCAGCCATCATAAACCCTTTACCATTCCTAATTAAAAGTTTCTACTAGGTACAGTTATTTAATAGAATACAATCTTTCTTTTTTACATTGATTTACTGCCAATAGAGACACGAATGCAATAGATGTATTTTGGATAATTGTTATTATTGGAGGTCAACCTTCCTGTGTGAATAAAATATCGTTGGAGATGTACATCGTAAAAAAGTCATACGATATGGTTTATCTGCTAGCAGAAAACTACATCTAATAAACTAGAGGTATCATGAAATGATTATGCCTTGAATTTTGTTGTTTTCTATGCAGCTGAATTCAAAAGAAATAAAAGACAACTTTGTAGATGAAACTGTAATTATAAAGGAATTAAATTGAAAATATAATGTCGATTAACTCTGGTTTTCAGAAATTACAAATTATCAAATTAATCCATAAATGAATGTACTACATCAGTGTTCAGAGTTAAAGGAAACTTATTTCTTTATGCTTGTATAATTAAACATTTGTATAAGCACGTATTAGCTAGAAAATTGCTAAACCAATTTGATTGCACGTAATAAATAATTGTATAAAATATTATCNTGAAAATATAATGTCGATTAACTCTGGTTTTCAGAAATTACAAATTATCAAATTAATCCATAAATGAATGTACTACATCAGTGTTCAGAGTTAAAGGAAACTTATTTCTTTATGCTTGTATAATTAAACATTTGTATAAGCACGTATTAGCTAGAAAATTGCTAAACCAATTTGATTGCACGTAATAAATAATTGTATAAAAGATTATC